GCTAATCTTGATATATTACTTGGATCTCAAAAATTAATGTTTGACAAAGCTGGAATAGGCTTTAAATCTAGATCCGAGTAAAACAAAAACAAATAGGAATTCATACTCTACAATCAAATGTTTCTACTTGCATGAAGAAAGGGCATTCGAGTAAAATACTGCGAGAATTAAAAAGTATGCTATTCCTAAAGGGAGAATGAAATGGGTTCCAAAGATTAATTCTTTTCAAATAACATGATCAGGACCCAATAATTATAAAGGGTACCGAGAAAAATACTTAATTGTTTTGCAGGAACAAGTCTGGGAATCCCTTGAAGATCAGAGCTGCGAAACCAGGTTACGTGTATTTAAATTAATTGTTTTAATTGATATAAATCAATATTAATCGATTAAAACAACTTACTGATATCTGTCAGTACCATTTTAATCGATTGAAATATCGAAATAATCGATTGAACTGATCTCGAGGATTTTGGTTTAATTGTTTTAATCGATTATAATATCTGTATATCAACTAAAAACACTTAGGTATCAAAATTAATCGATTCATTTACGTTTTAATCGATTTAAATTCCGGTGTCATGTTATTGATTTCATTACTGTATTAAACTAATCGATCCTTTTATAAAACAAATCGATTAATTTACTGTAGATGTTTTCAACTCTAATGACAAGAATCAAATTAATAGATAATGAGTTGATTAATCAATTGATTAGGATCTGTAAACAAGACTTATAACATCTAATTGAAGTTTGACAGGAAATTCAAAACAAAAACTCGAGTGTCTATTATCTGCAATAAATCTTTAAAGATTTCCTTGACCAAATCAACATTATTCCCAAGAACAAATTAAGCTGATTCACCCATCTGTCACGTAAATTGTGTCGCACATGCTTTGAACAGATCTTTAATTAGAAACTAAGACTAGTGGAATAAATGTGCTAAAGTTATTGCCGATTGAAATACTGCAAACTTTACATGTAGGAAAGTTATCCATAGATGAAAATGTTATTTTAACAATCGATTAATTCTCTGTAGATGTTTACATTTCTCTTAATACTTTACATGGAATGCTTGCGTAGTAATACATTGAAAATCAAAGGAATTATCAAAGAATGGACTGTAACTTTTCTTATAGACACTAGTTACAAACAGGTCAAAGCTGTTAGGACTGAAAACATAGTTTATCAAAATTTTTTTTAGTGATAATTGTTTTCGGTAATAAGTTATTCATTACTAGGAAATCCAATAAATACATGTTTTCATTAAATTTCTTGATATTACATTGCAATATATTTGAAATAATTTTGAGCATGCATTGGTTCAAAACTCTTGGTGAAATTCATTGGAGCTGTGCAACTTTGAATATTTGCTTTAATCATCAATGTCACGAGGTGACAACTGTAAGGAAACCAATCTGGGACAGACAATTCAAGAATTGAATAACGTGAGTACAGGGAATGTATGTTTTATGGTCGATACGAGGGATAAATTTTATATTGTTTTAGAATTCTGGATTGATTGTCATCACCTGTCCTCATTACTAATCATTGCCCACTCTACCAGAATAACATTCCTCAAAAGATAATGATGGCTGGTTCACTATAAGTGAGAATAACACCCATCATACTACATTAATAAGAATGCGAGTTATTTGCTTGGATAATGACAACTGCAGGGTTCAAAATGGGTTGGCTATTATGAAAGAAAATTCCTATCTCGGTACATCATTAACTCTGTGATTCATGCAATTTATGGTATCATGCATTACTGTGTGGGATTTGGTCGGTACATGATTATGCCTCGATGTGTAGTAGAAATTCCAGTGTGGTGTCAACCATGGTATGTAATGCGATCAATAATAACGATAAGCTTGCTAAAAGATTTCTTTTCGGGAAAAGTTTACGTATGCATTCTTGATACTGAGAGTGACGGCGAGTTGTTGACTCAAATAGTTGATAGAGCAAAATTAGTTCCAGCAAAAGGAAAGCCTATTATCTTTTGATATTGGTGGGAATCAAATGAATGATCACCAAGCTGGTGGATAAGCGGTTCAATCAGGGAAATTGGGATGACTAGTTCCCCTCATCATCTTTATCTTACGCTTATTTCTATCTTTATATTGTTTGCATGGATTGTGATATTAAGCTGGTGTTATACCGGGAACATTTGCCTTAACCTTTGGTTAAATATGGTTTAGGATCTAATCTAGATCAGATCTGGCGTAAATAGAATTTAAATAGATCCTCGAGAGCTTTAGCTAAATAAGACTTTATTCGATAGATCTATTAGCTAAGATAAGTTGTTAGTATTGTTAAAACATCCTTCTAAATGATCAGTTTTACAAAATATGCATTAAACATTACTTCATTTTCAAAAGCTGATTGTTTTAATCAATACAACATCTTGTTAATCGATTAAATGAACTTATACAACATGTTTTAATCGATTCAAAATCGAAATAATCGATTATTTTTACTAAAGTTTCATGTTTTCAAAATCTTAAATGTTTTAATCGATTAAACTTTTCTTTCAATCGATTAAAATCATTTACCAAGAACATTTTAACCGATTATGCTCTGTTTTTAATCGATTTTTATTACGGGAAGAAAGATTAAAGGCTTTAGTTAATGGTCGTTTACGTAAACATGCTACTAAAGCGTGATTCCCTTATCTTTACACGTGTTAATTGTATTCATTACAAGCGTGTTAATGGAGATAAGTTTGAATCAACTTTAATTGATTCTTTTCATGAGTGAAATATTGATTCACTTTTGTATTTTCAAAAACTTGAGCATATTTTTCGAAACCTTACATTCTTCTCTCTTCTATTCCCTATTTTTGATGAAGTCAAAAGGGGGAGAAATAGTTGCATCACTTTAAGATAAATTTAAGAACAACATTTTAGGGGGAGAAATAAGTTTTAGGGGAGAAACAAAACTTTATTACATTCTTATATTTCTCACCTAACTGCATTATCAAGTGACTTATTTTGCGAGAGATTGTTTTTTCAAAATGGTGTTTGTCTTCATCAAATAGGGGAGAGCTGAAAGTGATCCTAGCAAAGATCTCATTGATTTGATGAAGTCAAAGATAAAGTCAAGGGTCAACTCTGCGACGATCAAACAAGTCACTCGAGAACAAAGGAGGCTGAAGACTTAGTGTGTCTAAACAGAAAGCTTAGGTAAAACCACTTTACCTTTTCCACTTGCATAAAGCTTCTTCACTCAATTTGCAAAATGCCTCAAAAATAGTTTTAAACAAATAAAAAACAAAAGCATTTTGGCAAAGAATTTTCTTAAACAAGTTATTAAGCTGATAAAGGTTTGAAAGAATCAATTTAAAACACTTAGAATGTTTTAAAAAGTGTTTTTACAATATTTTAATCGATACAAACTTCTTTTAATCGATTAAAACTCTTTATGATCGATTAAATTCGAATGTAATAGGTCAGAATGCAATATAATCGATCAGATCTTAAATATGAGCGATCAGAATTATTTTAATCGATTAAAACACGTTTCAATCGATTAAAATCACTTTGGATGTCAGGATGATCGATCAGAATGAGATTATGGCCGATCGAGTTGGTTATGATCGATCAAATTGAATTATGACCGATCAGACCTATTTCAATCGATTAAAGCGTATTTCAATCGATTAAAATAACTTAGAAAATCTTTTCAATCGATTAAAATGAACTTTCAATCGATAAAAATGACTTGAAAATATATGTGCAGTTTTCAATCGATTGAAAGCGACTTTATATCAGTTAAAATAACTTGGAAAGTTTTATAAGAAGGTTTTTAAACAAATCAATCGATTAATACGCGATTCAATCGATTGTTTTATACTTTGAAAATGTTTGTAAAACGTTTTAAGCTGATAAAAACGTGGTCGTATCAACTAAAACATTTTACGTTAAAGATCAAGAACGCATTAATGGGTTGAAAGGACTTTTAGCAGTTATAACGGCTATTTCAACGAGTTAAAACAAACTTTCAACAGATTAATTAATGCAGCTTTTTGAAAAACTCTTTAAAAAGCAGTTTTGATTGAATTTTTTGAACAACAGATTGAATATCGGTTTTAAACATCCAAAGCAATCAATTCAAGCAACTGTTAGCATACTTTTCCAAGAAAGATACACAACTGTTTTTGTGAACTTCTTTTGAAATCTTTCTTGAGGCACTTTGCATTTCTTTGAAGAAGAAACTGATCGTGGATTGGTGTAATCCGGTTTGAGCTTTCTTTGTTTCTTCTTTTCAATTTCTATTCATTCTTTTGTACTTGTTTTGTACCTGGAATTTGGGTACAAGTTTTACTGCATTGTGTAGAGGTTGTAGAAGTTTCCAGGAGCTGGAATTTGGTTCTTGGTGGGAAGGTTGTAAGCAAGAGTCTGGAATTTGGTTCTTGTGTGTGGTGCCTGGAATTTGGGCACTTGGTTTCTCTGCAGTTGGAATTTGGTTGCGAGAGGTTTCCAAGAGCTGGAATTTGGTTCTTGGTGGAGAGTTAGAATAGGTGTAAGAGTGTGAGTCCGTAAAACATCTATTCTAGTGGAACCCAGTTGGAATTTGGCTGGAGATCGGACGTAGCCCTGGTATTGGGTGAACCAGTATAAAATTACCGATGAAATCTTTCCTAACCTTTCTCTCTTTAATTTCAGTTGCTGCGCTTATATTGTTTGATTGCTTGGTAATTCAAAAAGATTTTTAGAAACTTAATTTTCGAATTAGATAATCTGAGATTTGCGAAAAACTTTCAAAAAATCAATTCACCCCCCTCTTGATTTAAAACTACTTTTCTAACACTGTTCAATCCCATATCCATACATAGTAATCTACAATCTAACATCTACAACTAACTATAACAACAAATAGGTATATAAACCATCCCAAAGTAACTGGTTTCTGCTCCATGTTTTTCATGTAAAAAGTGATAGCCATCAGAACTTTCACAGAAGCTCAAAAAATGCAAAATTTTCCAGTTAACTTGTGCTCTACACTTGTTGGTTCCTTCTTCCATTGGACTTATAATCTGCATTGTCACTCTTGTCTGTGTCAGAATGAGTCTCTACCTCCATGTTTCCTGCCTGACTCCTCCTGCGTCTTCGATCCTGAAATGCCATTCACAATGGTTGAGAAACAACAAACTCCAAACACAGCAACAAAATGTAAACTTTAAAATGATGAGTTCAAAGAATCAAAAGGGTCTCAAAATAAATGTAACTTTTTCATTTGTTTTCATTCCCTTTGTGCTTCCTGCACAATTCCCCTTTCGTTTTGTTTGATCTTTTTACATGTTGTTGCAATGAACCTAATGTAAAATCATGTAACAGAACCAACTTGGAAACATATTGTGATGTTGAAGGTGAGAATCAGAACTCAAACCTCTCGAGGTATAGGATATTCCTCTGATTCAAGCATGCGGACAACTTGGCTCATCCTTGGTCTTTTTTCAGCATCTGGGTCAACACACCTCAAAGCAGTCAAGAGGGTTCGCTTAAGGGCACTCGTCGATGGCCTAGTCTCGATATTGGGGTCCAACACCTCTTCTGAGCGACGAAAACCTACCATCATCTTGAGCCAGTCGACCAAATTTACCTACAAGATCCACCTGATAGTGTTAAGGAAAGTCCAATCATTGTAATGAGTCAAAACTTTTGGAATAGAAATAAAATTATGAAATAAATGAAGTCCTTGTATGTTCCATGTGATATTTTTTATGTATTCCGTTCTTTCAAAAACACAATTCATGTTGAGACATATTAATGCTCCTTTGGCAATTAATCAAATATTCCAATGTAAAATCTATGATCGAGTTTTATTAAGTACACATCAATTATAAGTTTGAAGAATCAAAAATTAGTTTCAACAAAATCAATTCTACTCAACTTGAAAACTGATGGTGATTCCAATCTGACTAGAGACATAGTCAAATTACAGTATACAAACAGATTGAGTGAGGTTTTATCTCGCTTTCTAAGAAAACAAACAAGTCTGTATAATAGTAAAGAGACTGAATGTACATACCTCGGCTGCTGGTCTGCTGTAATCTACGGGGTCTCTTCCTGTAATTGCTTCAAGGAGCAGTACCCCAAAGCTGTAAACATCACTCTTCTCATTTAGCAAGCCAGAATTGGCATATTCTGGAGCTACATATCTGGGAAAATGCCATGCAAACATGAAAAGAAGAATAAGTTAGAGGCAGTTTCAGTTTCCATAATATCATGAGTAATGAAAAAAAATGATCAAATTCGTCAAATTTAGAGAGCAAATGAATGTGTGCTGTGCGATGGTTGAACTGAAAATTAGAGGTGACTTGTCATAAATTTTTAAGCGAAATGATACACTTAATTATTCTCTATGTTCAGTAAGCCAGAATTGGCATATTTTGGAGCAACATATCGGAAAAATGCAATGCAAGCATATATATTGTTGAGAATTTTAGGATTTTGTGTATATATGTATTGCTGAAAAATTAGGTGGGTATATTTTTATTTATGTACTCTATATATATAGAGTAAAAATATTATAAAATATCAAATATAAATAATATTTCAATCATAACTGCCTAAATCAAAATAATAACATAATATCTTTTTATCTTCTCTCTTAAAAGATAATTTAATCTCTTAATACCTAATTTAAATAAAAGATAATAAAGTAATATTTTCAACATTCCTTCTTACTTTAATATCTATTTATTTGAATTTGATATTTTTTTCTTTTATTTTGCTTGTAATTTTTTCTCCTTTTTTGTTTGTATTTCTTGTCATCTTTTTTCTTGTATGAGATCACATCTTCCTTCAACCTCACTTTCCTTCAAACTTCATGATAAGACCGTTGACTCTTTGATGAAAGTTTAAAACAATTTCTTCATCTACATCTTTATCTTCCTCTTTAACATCAAGTTCCTTAAACAAATCTTCTTCATGCTTTTTCTTTGACTTTTCTTTTATATCCTTGTTTGTAATGATCTCTTCTTTTATCAAATCTAAAGTGAAACTTTTTCCTTTCATGTGAACTTTGAATATTTCCAAGTTATTTATATCTTTAATCAGACAAAATTTGTGTTCAAAAGACACCTTATAACTTTTCTCCAATAATTGAGCAATACTTCACAAATTATGATTAATATCAGGAACATATAAAACATCAAAAATCAATTTGATACCCGAATGACTTTTAACTGCAATTGTTCTTGTACCTTTCACGTCCATTTGTTCTCTATTACCGAGATTCGTTGAGCTCTTTGAAAAATTCTCGATCATGAGTCATGTGGTTTATACAACCACTGTCTATAAGCCAACCTGTGGATTTGTTGATTGTAGAGCAGGTTGATGCAAGGAGAAATACCTCTTCTACCCTATCCTCTATAACTTGAACGACTTCCTCTGGTTGTGATTTGCATATCTTTTTTATATGTCCCAATTAACCACATTTGTGACATTTCACATCAGGTCTCTACCAACACTTGTTGGGTATGTAATTATTTTTTTTGCAATAAGGACAAACAGAAAAAACTCGTGATTTTGTACCTTTGTTGTTCTTGACTTGGAAAGAACCTCCATCAAGATATAGTAAAGAACCTTCACCAACAACATTATCTCCTCTCATCAATCTTCGTGGCTCTTGCGCTTGTAAAGCATGTAACACTTCTACCAAAGTAATATTAGACAAATCTTTTGTGTTTTCCAATGATGTAATAGATGTTTCATATCTCTCTGGCACAGTTACCACAATTTTCTCAACTATTCTGGAATCAGAAAATTCCTTGTCTAACAATTTTATTTTGTTAGCAATACCCAACAATTTGTTTGAGTATTCATTAATTGTTTGAGACTCTTATCTTTTATATCTCAAATTTCCTTATCAAGTTTAGAACTTTCATACCTCGAATTGAATTTTTTCATCCCTTCATATTGATCTTTCAAATAATCCCAAATTTCTTTGGGTGACTTTAGCGTCATGATTCTGGTGAGATCATTTGTGAAACACCAACAAACAGACATGATTTAGCTTTTGCCTTCCTCGTTTTTCTTTCTCTGTGAAATTTCATTTGAGCTATGGTAGGATTTTCAGGTAGTGGATCAACAATATAATCTTCTACAGCTTCCCATACATTCAATCATTCAAGATAGGATTGCATTTTCACAGCCCATAAGTCATAACTTTCACCATCAAAAACTGGAATAGCGACTTGTGAAAAAAAAAATTCTCCTTCCATTGTATCGAACCAAAGCTTTTGATACCAATTTGTTGAGAATTTTAGGGTTTTGTGTATATGTGTATTTCTGATATATAATGTGGGTATATTTTTATTTATGTACTCTATGTATATATAGAATAAAAATATTACAAAATATCAAATATCAATAATATCTCAATCATAACTGCCTAAATCAAAATAATAACTTAATATTTTTTTATCTTCTTTCTTAAAAGATAATCTAATCTCTTAATATCTAATTTAAATAAAAGATAATAAAGTAATATTCCCAACATATATTAAACTATGTAGATTTTGTGTGAATTGTCTGTCATGTCTTGACTGAATCGTCATAATTTTTTTACCGAAAATAAACTATCATATACTGTGTGTGGAATGTATATATATATATATAGTCTAATTGTTACACTCTTGGGAATAATATACCCAGGAATGATATTTCTAAAAATATGTTATGTCCATGTTTGAAATATTACATCATTTAAAATGCTACATACCCATTTCAACATTCCTGGGAATGTAAATCTAACCCTTCATTCAGACAACATCCCATAAAAGTTAACAATATAATTTCTCAATTTGCAGCATAAAATATGACAAAAACAATAGATCATGCTTAGATGCGTTGTGTTACCATGCCTAACCAAACATATTAATAAAGAAACTAACTTTCACAGAGCAAACAAACAAGTCTCAAATTTGTAAACAAGAGGTTTACCCAAAAGTACCCATTACTCTGGTTGTAATGTGACTTTTTCCAGCACCAAGTAACTTAGCCAGCCCAAAATCAGATATTTTGGCATTGAAGCCCTCATCAATTAGAATATTGCTCGACTTAATATCTCGATGCACAACTTTAGGCTCAATTGCCTCGTGCAAGTAAGCCAGCCTACAAGATATATAATCAGAGATCAAAAGGAAACGCACACCCCTGAAAGAAAATGAAGCGTAGATTAATTTGTTTTCAGGAACAAATGAGCATACGCTTTGGCAGTTCCAAGGAGAATTTTTATCCGTGCATCCCATGTAAGAAAGCCGTGCTGCCGCATGGCTCCGTGAAGCCACTGCTCTAAATTCCCATTGTTAACATACTCATAAATCAACAACCTGAAATTATTAGCAGCTTCAATGAAATCTACAAATAATATAAAGCTGTGATATCGAAACATATATCTCAATTACCAAGAAATTTCATCCTAGAAAAAACTTCTGACAATTGATAGATTTGTAAATGAGAATAATGAAGACATTAACCATACAGTAAGCATTTAAGTTGTCGGTCAAATGATCAAATGAAATATTGAATCAAACAGTCAAACATTGTTACCTGTGAGTGCCTTCAATGCAATAGCCCAAAAGTCGAACTAAGTTCTTATGCCGCACATGACCAATAGCCTCAACCTCCACCCTGAATTCCTTTTCAGCTTGTCCTCTGCATGATGGATATCAACAGTTATGAGATAAACAAGCTGCATCATCAGATGTTCCAACATTACATGAAGCATGACATACAAACTAGTCTAGAATTTAAAATGAAAATAATCGCTGCAATGCAACAAAACAAGGTAATGACAAAACTTACAAATTATTGAGGAGCTTCTTTATGGCCACAGGACTCCCATTGATTAATTGACCTCGATAAACAATTCCGTATCCACCTTCCCCAATAACATTTTCTTTGGAAAATCTGTTTGTTGCAAGTTCTAGGTCCCTTAATGTAAACCAGTGGCCCCAGCCAAGGTGTGAAAATTCAGGCAGACCCGATAAAGGGGATGGTGCGGTTATAGGATGCAAAGAAGACCTATAAGCAGAAATGCCATTAGCACCAATTTCTTCACCTGATTGAGAGCCATTAGCATCTTTCTCTAAATGATTAAATGAGCCTGATTGACTACTATTGTCCCCATTCTGTGTATGGTTCAAAACCTTTTCAGACTCCCTATCACCAAATTTGTCATTCAGACTCATAAAAGTGCCGTTCTGTGGAGGATTATTTGCTGAAACTTTATCAACACCGATTTCTTTGATCTCTTCTGAAACAGATAACACATGGCTAAATGGAAACTTGCCATTGACACTTCTGAACTTCTTTCTTAAAGTGAGACATATTGATAGCACCACAAGAATGATTATGATGAATAACCCAACTATTATTCCCATTAGTACCCACACTTTCAATCCAAAAACAAATGTTTTCTTGGACAATCCCGAATTCAGATCAGATGCCATTTTGCTGCTGCCTAACAAATCTGCATGAGCCAGAGTTAAAATATAAGAAAGGCAATAAGATGCGCACAGCAAATCATGTAGCAAAAAATTAAACATTTGATTAGACTAACTATGGATATGAATTAAAACACCAAATCGTTCAACTTGATTCCTCAAGTCATAAACCAGATTCTTTATATCCCAGAAAAAATAAATGGGGAAAAAGTTTGTAAAAATAAACGCTGCATTTTGGTCTAGTATTCACATCCCAATAAATGAAGCACATATGAAGCGGAGAAAAGTATAACAAAATTGATTTCAAACTTATTGCAAAATACAAAATCGTAAGAAGCCAAAAGAGCATAAAAACAAATAAAAATGTTTTTTTACAACACTAAAAACAAAGTAAGGGAGAAATACCGGACTTTGTTCTCTGAGTAATCGGGAAGACACAAGCCCCATAAAACTTCAAAATTCAGTAAACCCAAAATAATTGAGTCAAGTTGCAAGAGAGACAATGAGAAAACAACAAAAAAGGAACCATCTTTTGTAAACACCTCCTTGGTTGTTACCATCAACATTGCAACAATTTTCTTACGTATTATGTGAAAAAGAGGCAACAACTCTTAGGAGCTGAAAAGGATCAATGAATACCTGTTCACAGCTCAAATCCTTCACAGATTTGTCCCCAGCTCCTTTTCAGACCCTGAAGCAAGTTAAGCACTAGATCTTCTATCCTCCCAAAACCCTCTTGGGTGTGAAGCCATTGTAGCACCAAAAGTTCACACCCATTGCCAAAATCCTCCTAATGTGAGATTTTGCTTTTTGGGTTTTCTCAAATGATCAAAAGGGTGTCTGTTTCTGAAACGGAACTTCTGAGACCCCCTCTCCTCACCGGACAAAATGAAGGAGGAGGTCACAGCAAAGGCACTAACCAGGCCATCTGGTGAAGTTGGAGGGAATTGGATAACACAAGAAGCACATGAAATTTTGAGGAGAGGCAAATGGTGGGGTTAATAAGATGGCATGGAGTTATCAGCGGTAGGTGATAGGAAGTGACATGACTCACATTACATACAGTAAAAGAGAAGGCATCAGAAAAGAATAGAAATTCTTTCTTTGCTGTTTCTTCAAATTTCTTCCCCCTCCTGTTTACAGTCCCTTTCTTTTCTTCCTCCTGTTTATGTCTTTATCATTTCTCTCATAATACTTTATTTGTATTTATTGTTGTTCTCCTCATAAACCATTTTGGCACGCTTACATACAGTTATTATTGTATCTACTACAATACTACTAATATACTATAAATTCATTATTAGATTTATGTTAATAGTTTATGTGCTTCAATAAAAAAAAATATTCTTCAGATTTCTAATATAAATCACTTTTATGTTAATAGTTTATGTGTGACTATTTGTAAGAGTATGCGTGCGAAATATTGTTTTGTTTTTATGTAAGTATATATGTATTTATGAAGAAAATAAAAGTTTTTCATTCAATTTTTATAGATATTATTGATTTGATGGATGTTAATGAAACTTAAAGTGTAATAACAAGATTTAGTATAGGATTATGTTGTTCTACTCAAATCCTTTAATAAATGTTTAAGTTTTGAATTTTATAAACGGAAAAAATATAATAGAAAATAAAACTTCTATTAAAGAACATCTATCGGATTATTTTTTATGAAAATTAGTCATAGACCAAATTAATTAATATTGTTGAATAAAAATACTCTTTATAATTCTAAAAAATATTTATTTTACATATTTATATTTATAACATTTATGTCATTTATCATATTTTTTTCTTCCACCAAACCATCTAAAAATCATCTTATTTTTCATGATTTTTTTCCCATTCTCTTTGTTTTACAAATCAAACATACCACATTTACTGAAATATCCTATAACTAACCCACGTGACATCACAATGGAACAAAAAGAATGAAATCATTTCATCCAAAATATATATATATATATATATATATATATATATATATATATATATATATTATTTAGAAGTTAAAATCAAATATAATTTATATATATTTTTCTTTCTTAATTTATAAAAACGTCTCTTAACAAATAAAATTATGATAAACTAAAATTTTAAAATAGATAATAAGTTAAGACACTAAATGAACTTGTTTCAAGTAAGGACGAGAGTGTATCAAGGGAATTGTCTAATTTTAAATTCTAATATGTCATGAAAAGACACCTTGATAGGTTAAGGGAGAAGAGTGTATATAAACTACCCTTAATCTCAATTTAAAAACGATGTGGGACTCATGAGCAAACAAAAAAAAATAATTTTCTACCAAGAAATAGGGGTATGAGTGGGGTAAAACTCTACTCTCGACTTTATAGTGGACACCAATGTTTTTACCATACTTGTGAAGGTCAACAAGAGGGTATGTTGTTAGATTGATGAGATTGATATATTAAATTCTGAGCTGCAATTTTAAAATGATTTAAAAATAACTTCTTCTGAAAATAGCAGACCAAGACATTCTTATTCCTAGAAGAATCATTAGCACTGACAATGGGACAAAGAGTATATTCTCGCTCTACTCATACATCTTACCTCGACTTAAGACTTATGTTCTGGTATATTCATGACTGAAGACTTATGTTCTGGTATATTCATGACTGAAGACTTGTGTTCCGGTATATTCATGAGTCTCATATTACTTAGGAGTAGAAACTAAAGATAATTTATATATATTTTTATCCATTGAAATTTCATTTTAAAGACAAAATCGTAAGATATTAAAATTTCAAAATAATAATATATCGATATGAAAATTAATCTAACAATCTTATTTTTGCGGATATAAAACTAGGAATATATATATTTATATAATCTTAACAAGTGAAATTTATAAAATTACTAAATCTAAATTAATATTTTTAATATAAATATTATTTTCTTACACAATAAGCATATGGGTGGATAGTGAAAGAATGAAAGTGGACAGCGTACCAATTTTAAGAGAGTCCATAGGACCCTATTCCATCATCATCATGAAGACCTAAAGGCCTTTATCAAGCATTCAATTTCAACTTCATTTCTACCTTTCCTTATCCAAAATGAAAAAGAAAAAGAAAAACTCTACTAATGCCATAACCCCTTAATGATAGAGGGGAACACACTCCTTAGGAGGAAGAACAACACGTGAACGAGGGAAAGGGAAAGAAAGTCTCGTTCATAGACATTTATAACAGAAGCAGAATGATTGGGATGAAAGACCAAGGTCGTGTTGTGTTGTGGTGCCCTGTTACTTGTTTAGGAAAAGTGATTCTGGTCCAACATAAGTGCGTCACGAAACAGCGCTTAAATGAAATGGTATTTAGTTTTCACTGCCACACATCATTATCCAAACAGGACACTGCATGACTCAGCAAGACGTGTAACTCTGCACTCTCCTTTGCTTCACGTCTCAGCCAAACCCACACCTCTATAATTACCCTTCAAAACAAGCCTTTTTACATTTTTACCATCCTTGGGGTGAATTATTAAGTTTCATATACCCTACAACTTATAATATATATTTATTTTTGAAATATATATTATAAATCAGATTTTATCGTCACTTTAAAATAAAGTGACTTTTATTAGTAGAAGTGTCTAATTTAATCTTTTAAGAAAACACAATAATTTCACATAAAGTTACAAACTTTTGACTATACAAAAAATATAAACAAACAAAGAATTATTTTTTAAAGATTCCAAATTAGAATCAAATATTAACACGATAGAATAGAACACCAACATTAAACATTAAAAATAAACTTCGATAAAATATTTTTTTGTTTTATGATAATTAAAAAAATCACAACGAATTTAGAAATACACTTTATCATGGTTTTTATTTAAAACTTCTATCAGTTTGTTTCCTAAAAACTAAGGTATTAGGTTCAAGTGCATAAACTTATGGCATATATCACATTTGAAAGAAAAAAAAACGTAATATCTTATTTTTAATTTATTGAAAATTAAAACCTACATCTTAATCAATGATTGTAGAGCCAAACCTTCATGTAAAATTTATATATAGCATCTAAGTCATTAGTTTTAATGAAGAGATTATTACAAAGTACACTATTTTTTTGTTTCTTTTGTCGAATATTGGTATTCATCCAAGCAATAAAAAAATATTTTATATGCACTTATTTATTTTGAGAATAAAATGTTATTAATTAATCAATATACCATATATTACATAAAATAATAATGTGAAAAATACATAATTTTCATTTTGTTTATCAATATCCCTAAAGGTAAGTTTTGTTTTTAATTTAATTATTTCTTTTTTTATAATGATGACAAGAAAAATATGTCTTTAATTTTAATTCTTATTTTTAAAGTAAGGATATTATTATTATTATTTATTTTGATAAACTTATAAATTTCATAAATTAAGGTTAAAAGGTAGTTTGTATATAAATTTCTTTTTCTGAAATATATTTTAAGAATAAAATCATAATAAAATAGAGTTTTAAAAATAATAATATCTCATAATTTTTAAAGATAAAATAATAATAATAATAATAATATTATTATTATTAAGCTAAACATGAGTTAAAACATTTAGACATATGCACTATAACAAATAAGTTTTATTAACTTATGCTATAAATATACAAATTAGTTATTAGATGTCTATTTATTTCTCACTTTTTTATTAAATTTTCTATTAATTGTCTTATAACAAATTTAAAACGAGGATAAATTTGAAAATTTATGAAAAAATTTGAAGAATTTGTCAGATTACTTTTAATAGTCTAATTTTCGAATCATATTTTTTCTAACTACGAAGTTTAAAACTAACACCTTCTTTTATTAAATAGTTAAATATATTTTCCCATTTTAAATATTAACTACTCTTTTTAGAAAATGAAAAATACGACTTCAAGTAACAATTGTCATTTTAGCAAGTTTAATGGAAAAGAAAATTTTACATTTTTCATGTTCTATAACTATTACATTATAAAACATGTCATGTATGTTATAATACACTTGCGAGTTATTTCGTAGTTTATTAAACATAAGAATTTAAGGATGATATGAAAAGAACTAAGAAGAATCTTTACAAAAAAAAACAATTGTTTTCTTTTTATTTTTTATTTTATTTCTTCAACATGTGTGTGTTTAAATTGGCATATATAAATAGTATACATAAAAAAATGTTATTCTTTTATGATTTAATGTTAAAAATGTTATAGACAAAATGTATTAAGAAAATAAATAAAAAACTATTAAAAAAAAAATATAACAAAAAAAAATGTTTTTTTTTCTTATTGCGAGTTATAAGCAGTAGTTAACGACCATTAGTTTGATGAGTTTTACAATGTAATAAAAATGAAATAAGTTTTTATTTTTATGTATAAGATTCATTTATTACAGTACAACAATTAAAGACTTAATTTATTTATTTATTATTATTTTTTAATCTAACAATTAAAATAAGTTATTATATATTTATTACTAGATTATTGATAAAAAATAACAATTATTTAAAAAAATAAATAAATCAAGCCTATATATGATAAATATCGACAAATAAAAAATCATTGATAAATTCAAATATTTTTTTTATGTTATGTTATCATGTAAAGTTAACATTTAAAAATATATGTTTCTTACATTTTATTATTTCTATAAAGGAATTAGTTGGTGAATATTCTGACAAAATAATAATGTGATTGAAAAAATAATGTGGCAGATTAATTATTTTATCATGCATACCTCATGTTTTAGGGTTTTTAACTAATGAAAGAAGGAGAGATTGGTGTTGGTGATACACACCATAGTCTCAAATCTGAAACATGTTGGGTAATTAATTGTCTTCTGCCGACAATTTTGAAATAGAATTTAGAAGAAAGTAAAAGAGAGAGAGTGAGTGAGTGAATCTGTGATGTTTCTATGGTTGGATTTCATCACAAGTTTGGTCCAAAAAGTAGTGGGTTTTGTACTTTTTGTAACACAAGAAATAAACAAGACGTGTGCACGATTCATTCACTTCTTTTAATACAACTATAATCATTTTTACCCAAAAGTACCACCCTTCACTTTCTTCACTTTCTTGGGTTGTCCTTCATGATCTTGACCCTCTCTTAAAGGGTCCTCCATTGTCCTAAAATTGTTAACACTGGGGAAAGTCTCCACCTTTAGATTAATTAGCCCTAGTCATAAAGTTTAATGCAAATCCTCTCTACTTAATAACAACCAACAAAAGAAGAATGTTGTGTCTAAGAAGGTTTCCTAGAAATGGTGTGCCCTAATAATCTGAGTTCCGTTTGAAGAGATTCTTCAATAATGAGAAGCATATTGGGGTGGAATTTGTGGATGGTGGCTGCACCATTTGAGACATTTGGCGAATTCATTATATTCATGTTTGTGATTAAGGAATTGGGCATTGGTTGTTGTTGTCGTTGAAACTGCTTTGTCTTTTTTTGAGGTTGTGCTTGCTTAGGGTAGTTAATGGCGTAGCATTCGGGTAATTTCGTTCTTCATTTTAAATGTTACTTATAATATAATCAAAAATGTGTTTTTTATAAATATTATAATTTATAATCTTTATTCTTTTATTTTAATTAAAATTTTAGAAATAAAATTATTTATATAATAAGTTATATATATAAATTAGTTAACAACATGTTTCTGCATTCGAATCTACAAACTTGGATCTGAATGTTTCAATAGCCTCCAACATGGGCCATATAGCAGGCCCTTATTTCAGTTCTCCAATACAAGAGCCTCTTACTAATTCATAACTTCCTTTCTTATTACTACACCATAAACCCTAAAATTAAAAATTAATTACTTATTCTTCATTTTATGATTGATTTTCTTGTTGTCTAATATAAAATAAAATTTTAATTTTCATGTGTTATCAATTTAAAAATTTTATAGTCAAGTAATTAAATGAAAAGAATATGAGAGACAAGCAGAGAACACATCTTAATTTAGAATTGTTGGAGAAAAATACATGAATGTATTGAAGATACATTAGAATGAGAAAGACCCTAAAATTGTACATTTGAGATTACTGAAGAAAATTATAATATGAACAACATACACATACTTCTCAATAGTTCATCACTTAATTACATAATTAAACACATAATCACCTAATTAAACGTACTTGACTTGGAGTAATCGTGTGAGCGAAGATAAAATACGTCCAAAAATCATGTATCGATTTGTAGAGATTGCCAACAATCCTGAAACCATTCAAACATTACAAAATCATCTTACATAACATTTGCAAAGTAATAATATATAATCAAATTTCACACATACATTCCAATTCAAATTCAATTTATACTTTTGTTAAAGTCTTCAATTAAAAAGAAAATAAAATGGTAATTTTTTATTTCTTATTTTTACCAAAAGGGCACACAAAAAAATATCATTTTCAATAGTGGTTGACAGTATGAAAAGCATATATAGATTTATGGTATTTTTAATTCATTTTTATAAGTCAATAAAATAGAGATGTGGAGGGGAAATAATACATAATACAATGAAAGACATCAACAAAAAAAATGTAAAAATAATATTTTGAGAAAATGCTTTCGCTACAAGTCTTTGAAATAAAAATATTATTTTGTGGATGTTATCATTTCAATTATTTAATCTCATTTTATTTAGATATTCATAAACAACTTAATGAAGAGATCTCATGCACATGCTGATATGTGTACCACAAGCAGTCATTTGACAAAATCATCGTTGACTCCTTAATTTTTCTTTAAATTTACAAATTTTAAAGAAAAAATTTACAAACAGGACAACTAGAAAGCTTGTTCTTTCTGTCCACCAAACGTTTGATGTAAAACCATGGGTTACAAAATATAGATAAAAGCAACCATAATTGTTGCTTTCAAGCACCACAATAGTATTGTAATGTAATTAATAAATATAATTTATAATTAAAAGTAATTCAAACAATGCTTGATATTAAAACTCTAACATACAAAATTATCAAGCAAAAAGTACCAATTTCATGCAATCATGAAGCATACAAAATTAAAGTATTTAAATTTAAAAATTTGCATTGATTAACTTAAGAGATAGTTAAACAAGAGGCCAATTTGTTCACTTTATCTATTGTCAAAAACCATGATTCGGAATGGTAAATCAGAAATGATGCATTCTACACAGGCTAGTAATTACAAATAAAAAGCATATGATTTAGTTATAAAATCTATTGCCTAAAAAAAATGAGGAACAGGGGTGCATTCCCCTTCCTAGTTCTTTCTCCAAAAGGGTTCTCTATAAATCATCTTGTATTTGAGTTTTCACTTTCCTGTTGCATATTGGTTGGTTAACTGTGTACGTCCAATATGAGATAACCTTGATGATGAAACAAGTGGTGTTTCTTCATCAATTTTCATATCAGAGGCAGTTCCATTACCTCCACTGCTTCCCTCGTTGCCATCAATGTTATCTGGCACATAAACATCAGATGATTTCTTCTCAAATTTCCAGTCCTGCATGCATGTCACACACAATTTTACTTAAGATCTTAATGAACATTAAACAAGTGTTAGTTTTGCATTGCCTTAGTAGGATTATACATTTACATTATACTAGTAAAATGTTGAAAGAAGATAGAAGGATTTGAGACCTTTGTGATCCTATCCGGAATACTTTCAACAGGCAATTGAGAGGCCCGGACATCCCTAACCTTTATGTAATTGTACATCACAACTCCACACAGTGCTGCAGGAAAAATATGAAATGGTAAGAAGGAGGGGGTAATTGAAGAATATCATGATTCAAACAAAACTTACCTATAGCATAACCAATTATATTCAACCCAGTTATTGTAGATTCTGGGAATATAACAGTGGAAAGAGCTATCAATATCCAGTCTTTAAGCACACCAGCAACCCGGATGGTTACAGCACCAGTTCTACCAATGACTAGGAAAATTGAGAAGTTCAAGGCTAGAGCACAAATAGCGTTGGAAAAGAAGATCCAAAAGTTAAACTGAATCTGTGAAACTTCCATTACTGGCTTCTCCAATAGGTACCAAGGAACAAAGAGAAATACAAAACTGCAGACAACAAAGAGTAAAACAAGTTAGCAACACACATGGCATGCAGGGTTGTTGGTAAGCATGGATTGAGACCCCAAATAAGAACACTTAATTGTTTGAGCTAAAAAATTTGGCAATAAACAAGATTTATGTCATAAATTGCATAATTAGGAAAAAAAAAAACAGAAAAATACAATAATAAGCTACCGATTACCAATAAATGTACATACGTGAAGTCTATGTTGCCCAAAATAGTGCAACTTAATTCACTGGGTATTAAATTCACATGAACATGAATCAATTAGAGATGGTTACTATTCATTAGTAACATAACTTGCCATTTTTTCTGTTTGGTTTCAGTAGTACAACAATTGTACGGAATGCAGTGATGTGTAGAATATGAATATAAATACCTGCAGGGAGCTATGTAATATAAGCTTGTAATAGGATTTAATGTCAACCCCTTTTTCTGCAGAAGGACTTGTGTTAAGACCAGTCTTAAAGCTTCTGCAAAGATGCCTGTGACCTGGTAAACTGTACCAACTGTATTAAAATGAATTTCCCCATAGGAGGATATGACAACTCCAACACTGACCAGCAACATGTTCAAGAACACATCACACCTTGCTTTGTCAATGCCGCACAAAACAGCCATAAGAAAAGTTGCCACCGGCACTGAAATATAAAGTTTTTGAATTAAGGAAATTGAGCTCAGATGGAAAGAGAAACATGAGGAGTAAAAAAAAAAGAAGAAAAACATACTCAGAGCTTTGAGCATCTGGATAAAAGCCACGGAGATGTGCAAGTAGGCAGTGTTACCAAACCTGTAGTACCCAAAAGGCATTACATATTGTTCATATAAATAGTTATATCTTCAAAACTATTTATATTAGTAGGCATCTGTAAAATCAAAAGGGAATAGTCCTTGATACCAAATTAATCTTTCAATTTAAGTACTACACAAAGGAGCATCCATAATTTAATAGAAACATCATAGTTTTGAAATTTGAATTATATTTATTACCAAAAATGAACTATATTCTATGTTCTCTAACTGGTCTTTCATTTTGTGCAGAATGCATACTAATTTTAAGGACCATGATGAACACGATTATACTATATTCTTTGAGGAGGGTTGATACGCTAGAACATTGAACTTCAAACTAACAATGTCCATCTAACAGATTTGAATAGTGAATGCTGGAATAAGAAATCCAATATACGGAACATTACAATGGGATGTTGAGAAAACATTTTACAAAGATGACAGTATTAAAAGTAGAACTATCCCCTACATAGGGTTTCCATGAGCAAACTTCCAGCAATCAAGCTTAACTGATTAAGTTGTTTCATACCATCAATGTTCATTCTAGCATAAACATATTGAATGAATGAACCACACTTGACCCAAAAAAATTTAGATGTAACTAATTTAATAATGAGAGGCTTCAGACGTTACTGGATCTTACTCGAACATACCTAATCAGGTTAACTTTTCACAACTCAGAACTCAATAGTAAAGAGAGAGATCGATAATCGAACAAAAATCAAATTAAAAACAAATAAGAAATACGAGCACAAGGGGCATGTCTCAATCCCATTAATAAATGTGAGAATTATGTTCAGAAAAATTACAGTTAGCTCATGTTGCTGTGCTTACCAAAGACTAGATGCAAAGAAAGCACTTATTGGTACCACACATGTTGCATATCTGTCACAGAAAGAACTTTGTTTTAGGAAGAAGATTGACTAAGGACAAGCACAGCTCTAGAAAGATTTAAATCAAGGGCATACTCACATTTCAAATGTCATTTTGACAGGAGACACAATCTGCAATAACAAAACAAGGGAGTATTGGTCAAGTTAACCAAACAATAAGATGGCAAAAGATAATGAAGCATATGGGTGATAGATGGAAAAATGTTCAAGCATAGAGGGTAGGTTTTACATATGGTGTGTAGAGTATAAAATTCCAGTGAAAGCAAAATATGTGTATGTGCACAGATAAGTTAAAAAAAAAAATCTGAAAGAAGGCCATATTACTACCCGTTCATTTTCTTCCTAATGGTTGTCACAAGTTGCACATAACATTGTAGAAATCACATTTAAAGAACCAACCTATCACAGATACCAACTTGCACTAAAGGTAGGATGTGTTACTGTTAGCTGCAGTAACTTGATACATCACAAAAGACACATTTCCAGAAATAAATAGGTCACCCAACCTAACTTGTATTAAATATGTCATGAATGTTGTTGACTGGAAAAAAAATCAGTAAGTTTCTCTTTCATACTCTACAAGTCCAAGGAACCTAGTTAATAATATTGGCCTATATTCCAAAAAGCAAACATTTTAACTTTTGAAAGCAACAATAAAGTTGACCAATATATGCGCAAACTCAGCTTCAAGTGCTGTCGTTCAAATAATGTAATCAATCGGTATCACTTATTTAGGATCTCCTTCCTCACTAAACGAATATATTCAACTGATGAGTGAGATCTCACAAACTGATATTGACTAGCAGAATCTCAATGTCAAATGAGCTCCAACTTAAAATCTCTGGTTGCTAGTGAAAGTGAGCCATCACTCCATTCTTCACCGAACTCTATCAACTCAAAGCTCAATTAATCATAATATATATAACTAAGGAAGTAATCAGTTCATGCAATTAAATTAAACCAGTGTGAAGAGGAACACAGAAAGAGTCCAGTATACACAATGCTAACCCACCAACACACCCATCACTCTCATCTTGCAGATGTGAGTAGCAGTACGAACAAAGGCTATGAAATGACATGCCAGCTATACAAAGAATCAACATGAAATAGACGTGCAAGTTCACAAATCAGCAATATCAATCACAAACAAATTAATCAGAAATAAACCAAAAAAATTAAGATTTTAGTAGAAAAATAAGGGTTACCTTAAAGACCCGAACAAGAAAAAATGCGACTGCCCCAGAGAATGCCATGTGAATCATGGTGAGCGTTATGGGAAGGGGAAAGTTAAAGTATTTCGGCGACAAAACCCACTAAAAAAAACAAAAGAACATCATTAATTAACTAACTAGTCATTCTTTCTTTTCTTAAATCACGCTAAGTAGTAATTACCTTGTTATACAAAATGACGCCAGAAGAGAGCAAGATGTAGATGAACAAGTAGACATAAGTGAGAAAAAGCGGTTTGTTGAACATTTTATTTGTTGGGTATGGAAAAAGGGGAAAAGGGGGTTCAGCAGTGAGCACTGTGCAATGACATGTTCCAAACGCGACTTAGAGCAAAACCCAGATAGCAATAATCAGAAATAATGGTAAAAGACGATGCTTTAATGGAGAATGAGAATGGCGTGGATCGGATCTGTTTCTGGGGTACCCTCAAAGGGAAGAGATAATGGTGGTGAGAGGGTACCCAGTTGCGAGAATATATATATAATATGAGAAGAAGAAGAAGAAGGGATTGCAAATTGCAAATTGCAAACTGCAAATGGAAATGTTGGAAATTGGAGAGAAAGAAAGAGATTTGGGGTGGTGGGTGTGAATGGAATAGATGAATGAGGTAGGTAATTGTGAAGTGGCTGAAGAAAGTTACCACTTTGGAAACAAGTGAGTCATTAATGGGAGCTGCTTTGTGCCATGTGCCTCTTTCTTCCTTCCTTAGTATTATGCTTCTTTTCTCTGAATCAATTTACTTTCTACTTTCTACAGGGAAAATTAAGTTGACGTAGACTCTATACCCCATTCTTTGGGATATGAAGAAAAATTATTATTTTTTATTATTTTTGAACGTGAGTAAGAATTATTCTTAAAAACACATTTTTAAAACTACATTTTATCTTAGATTAGGAAGAGAACAATAAGTTAAATTGGTGTATTCATTACTTAGATTAATAAACTCATTAATGTATTGATGAAATGAGATGAAATAAATTATGAAATAACATAAGAATGTTAATATTTCTGGATGAGTCCGAAACAAAAAACATAAAAGTTTGACAACATAGAAAAATAACATAAAAATATTGTAAGAAAAAAATAAAATTGAAAACATTGTTTATGATGGTTAAGTAACATGTTGAAAGAAAGGGAAAACACGCTAAACGATAATAAGTTAAAATATAATAATAATAATAATAATAATAATAATAAAGTGAAAATTATTTTAAAAAAATATTGGAGTAAAATGAAAAAATGAGTAGGAAGAAAATATTTTATAAAATAAAAAACTAAATCAATCATCACGATCTTTTGTAAAGAAATCCTAAATAAATTCATATTGTGTGTTAAAAAATTTGTATGCACATTGACTTTATTATTTTTGTAAAATATTTTTGTTTATCATTCATTCTTCCAAAATTTAAGAATCATTAATTAGGATATGTGACATATCTTAATTTTTTTTTTTAAGTTTTATTTATTAAATTATATCACAACATTATCTAAAAAACATTATGTTATGTTCGTAACATGTGGAAAGACTGAACATTTCCTTAAAATTTATCTAAAATAAACTTTTAACAATTAATATAAGCGATTAGTTATTTCGTTTACACTTTTTTGTTTTATTTGTAAATTACCCTTAAGTTATTAACTTCTTTCTTTGTTCTACGTATAAAATTGTCTCTAAGAATATTATATTTCTTAACTTTTTTTAAATATACACAAATGTCTTGGACATACTTTTATATAAAAACAAAAACAAAATTTCTATACTTCAAATATGCAATATTTATTTGGTTGAGAGAAATATGTATATATATATATATATATATATATATATATATAAGGAAATGTTTATTTTAGAAATAATACATAATTAAATTAAAATTAAATATTTGTTTATTACAAAAATATTTATAAATTTATTAATTGAATTTTTTTATTAATGAAATAACTTTTAAAAGAAATATCATTAAATTAATGGGTGAATTTTTTTATAATATATATAATTACAAATTTTCGAAATATTTAAATTTAAATTAATAAAATAATATAATATTATAAATAAATAAAAACATATTAAATTTTTCATTGAATTTTTATGATCACTTTTATATATGTAACATTGTTAAGAAATCTTAATATAATAATATTATAATATAAATAATATCATCTTTACTTAGATATTTCATTATTTTTAAATGGTATTAACTTTAATAAAAAATCTTTATTTCTGTATAAAAAAATATTTTAAATTTAAATAATTCCTTTTAACGTTATACACATAAGGATATATATTATTTTACTTTATTTTTTAAACCTTAAAAAAAAATTGCCTGGTTATGATATTTTTTTCATATATATGTTTTCTAGAATAGAATGTTTTCTATTATATAAATCTTTTTCTATTGTAAAATACAAGAAAATTGGATTTAATAGAACATTAATTATCGTATAAATTAAATAATTCGTTATTGGACTAATATAGGATAATTCATCTTTAATATAAGAATATGATAAAAAATCTCTCTTAATACTTAATATTAAAAATGTGTATTTAAATATCTAATTAAATCTTACAAAATTAATATGATAGAAATTATGTTTAATTATGTCTGATATAAATTTTTTTAAAATCACACCTCCTTGTTCATTTGATATTTTATTAAAATAATAATTAATATATATGTATATATATTAAAATTATAAATATGAAAATGAATTATAATTTATTTAAGTGAAAATAATTTTATAAAAGAATATTTCTCTTTTTCCTATTGAGTATAAAAAAATATTTTAATGTAATTCTTCATCTATTATCCTAATTAATTATCATTTATTTTAATTTACGCGAGCAAATTTGGTTTTAAAAAAACATATGGCGTTGATTTGAGAGTGAGTTTATGTGGGAGGAAATAAGTGGTGATGAATTGAAATAATGTCAAATAAATAATGACTTGGAAGACAACTTTGTTTTCTTAGGCAGTGGGATATGCAGCTTGTTCGTGGTCCTCTTTTGGTTTTGAGCTCTTCTCCGTGGTCCTGTACGAGAAAATGCATAGGAATCATTAATAATTCAACAACAATAAATGCTTCTTTTTTTTCACATTATTCTTTTCATATTTTTTCGAATTTTGATTTTAAGAAATCGGGTTAATCAATAAAAAATTAATTAATTTAAAACATTTTTTTAAGAATAGAATAAGTATATATTCACTTTCTCTCTAACATGTTTCAAAATTTATTCTTAAAAATGTATTAAATTTATTGTTTTCATTAAATTATTGAACTCAATTAAAAAAATAATAATCGATACTTTGTGTCGTGGGTTGTTTGAGTGTGTGAAGTGTGTTTGTTCTAAGAAAAATGAAGATGGAAACAAAAAAACTCAAATGTAGATCAGTGCTACACGTAGCTCCACCATATTCTGTTGCAAGTTGATGAACCAATATGAGATTGAAGTTAGATACGATAGTTAATGGTAGATAAGAAACTGTGTATAGAATTGATTGATAAAGCGATATTTGCCAATCAGGCTTGAATTCCTCATCTGTTCTTGTGTTTCAAATGTTACAAAGAGATCCAAATCAATTGAAGAATGATACTGACTTGAAAGCACCCTTGCATGTGCACATTGTGAACTCTTTCTGGTTTTGCCTTAAACAAAATATAAAGAGTTACCAAGATATGATAAAGAGCCATGTATGACAGAGATTATAATAATCATGAATGCAGGAATTGGTGATGGAGAAGAAGAAAATTATGTTTCTTAGACCAATGATTGATATATTAAACTATAATTGATGAGTACGAAGATGACAATTTTAAAGTCAAATTATTTTCTCAAAATTTTAGGGTTTATGCATTCTTTTATATCTTGATAATTGAATCAAGATTACAAAAATAACATGATATACATGAATCTTTTAACATCAAATATATGTCAAATTTCTCATTAGTATATATTGTATAATTTTTCAATTTTTTTTTATAAATTGTTTATCTTTATTATTATATAACCACATTACTCATTTTAACTTTTTTTTCTTTTCTCTTGCCAACAATATCAACAAAGATCTGATGAAAAAAATGATCATGTACAGGAAAATGTATCTCTACTGGAACTCACTATATAGAAGCATGATAAAGAGTGAAGTTCAATAGATGAATTATTCTGGTTTCACCCCATCGAACTAATAATAAATATGATATATATAGAAAGAATTTGAATAACAAGTGACAAAAACAATTAATTTGATGATTTAATGTTGAGAATGATGTTTCCGTTATGTAATGTAATGCATGATAAACATGTGAACTGTAATTTTTTGGATGAAGAGAAGAAATATAAGTTTTGTACTTTCATTCAATAATAAAAGAAGATACAATTAATAACTTGGACATACAAATAAAATCATATTTATAATACCATAGGATTAATTACCAATGTAAAAATTATATTGACAATACATAATCATTAAACTAAAAAATACCTGCTGTTAATTATTATAAATTTATATTTAGATTAAATTTTATAAAATAGATAAAAATATGATTTTACAATAATGTCAGCATCTAGGTACGAGAAGATATGTATAAAATTGATAGATGAATTGATATTTGCCAAGGTTTGAAACCCTCGTTTGATTAATGTGTTTATATTTGAAATGTTACAAGGAGAGTGACTTGAAAGAAGAGTTGCATGTGCACATTTTTCATCTCTTTCCCACTTTTGGTTCTTTTTGTACAATGACATACTCAAACTTACTCAACCTCATTCCAAAACCAACACTTAACAAATACTAAGAGTAGCCAAAAAGATATAACAAATAATAGAAAAGAATATTACTTATATTGTGTTTGTACAGAAAGCTTTAATACTAGTATAACTAAATTTAATAAAATAATATTATTTAATAATATAATAAATTTATTATTAATAACAAATTTTTAAAATAACTACAGTAATAATAAATATTATTATTGTAGGTTATAATAAATACAATAAAAGATTAAATATTCGTAGTTGTAAAAGTATGTGAATTTAAAATTGATGGGATTCGCATAAAGTAAAAAATGGAAATAAATTAAAAAATATTTAATTTTATTTTTATTACAAATCTAGCCAAATTTTTAAAATTTTACAGTTTTTGTTGGCAAATGTTAGATCATGTATATATATGATACATAATTTAATTGTGTTATGACCATTGTTTATTAAGTCAAATAATAAAATGATTTGACTAAATTAAAGTTTTGACTAAAGACATATGTCATGAAAATAAAATTGTGTAGAGACCATAGAGCAATTTCTAATTTGATGAGGGGTCAAATTAGAAATACTAAAACTTAAGTAATTAACCTAATTCTTGTTATTTAAAGGGTCATAGTCACATTCTCGGAGCACGTACAGAGAACGTAAGTATCAGTCTCGTTCCTTTCTTTCTATCCCCATCAAGAGAGAAAATCAAGAGGGAAATACATGTGTTCTTCGGTGGAAGACCATAAGATCAATATAGTGTTCTACATAGACATCATCATTATGGTTAATTCAGATACGTTTTTACATCATGTTTATCAAGTATGAGATTATGTTTATGTTTGATCGTTAAAATCAAAATCAAGATTATTATTATTATTATAATTATTAGATTTCCAACTATACCAATTTTAATGATTAATTTAATTAAAATATAAATTTTTAAAAAACTAGGGCATTCGGTATATTGTTCATTGTTTCTTATTAAAGACATATTAGGATTTATTCAACTTCATTCCAAAATGTTAATAAATAGTGAGAGTGATATATATATATATATATATATATATATATATATATATATATATATATATATATATATATATATAGTAAAGAATATGTGTTATAGTGTATTTAGACGATAACTTTTAAATTTGAAAATAAATTATTTATATTATTTGGATAATTTAAAAAAAAAATATGAGAATAATTTAATTATTTAAAATTAAATAATTTTAAATTTCAATTAAAAAGTGAAAATTTGAAACTATTTATACTCTCATTATTTAAATTTGTTTTCTTCTTTTTTTAGCCTAAAATTTCTTCGACTTAATATCATTTTCTTTAACTGATATTTTTATTTTGTATTAAAATTAATCGTAGTTGTTTTTTTTATCACCATCATATTTTTTTTATATAGATACGTATTATTTCTTCTTAAATCTAGAATTATAATAAACTAAAGTTCTGACTAACTTTTCTTATAGAGGTTTTTTAGATAGTAGCTAATATATAACAAAATTTCATCTATGAAAAGGTATTATAAACCTAATTGAGCTTGAATTGAGTGAGTTATGTTAAATTTAAAATGTATGTACATGGTGTAGAGGTTAAAACTTCTTTAAATATAGTTTTGATCCATAAATTCTCTAAATTGAGTGAGAGCTTATCTTTTCATAAATATATTTCTTATGACATGTGCAACACATTACACAAATAAAGTAAAAATAAAAATAAAAAATAAAAAAAAAATAATAATAATAAATCATTAACTCTATTAGACCCACTAATTATAAATCAAGTAATATTTCAATATTAATGTCAAATATATGTAGCACAAATATGTCTCATATATATGTTTTGTTAACTTTAATTTTACTATATTTTCTAAAACATATGTTCCATTACCATGTCAGCCATCATCATTCCAACTATCTATTTGGTCCATGCAAAATGCTTTTCTTTAGTTTTGATCCTTTTAAAATCTAAAATTACTAATTTTCAAATTTGGTTCCTAAAATTTATTTTAAGATGAATAAATAATATCTAGAAAATTCAAGATCATAATCAAAATTCAATAATTTAATTAAAAAATAATATTAGTTATGTCAAAATTATATTTTATTCCTCCAATAATATTAGTGTTCGTGTTTTAACATGATTCTTTATAGTTTTCAAAGATCACAATTTGATCTTAAAGGTTTGATCAAAATTGTTATCTGAATATAGAAGGGAGAGCTTCTTTCATTTTTATTTTTTTCGAGTAGATAAGAACGAGAGGAGATATCCGTAAAATATTCTTTTATATTTAAGTCAAGATATGTAATAGTGAAAGTGAAAAAATATAATGATTAAAGAGGAAAATACGTAACTTTTTATACAGTAGTATTAATCATGGTTGATTGAGATTTAAGGGATATTTTATTTATGTTATATCCTTATTTTCGAGGTCGAGTATGTAAAATTTATAATATTTCAAATTTATCATATAATATTTTTGAATAATTTAAATATTATTATTTTAAAAAAATAGTAAAAGATCTATTTTATTAAATTTTAATATAATATTTGTAAGTTGAAGAGAAGAACAAAAAATTAGAGAAAAATGAAAATAAACGGTAGATAGGATAGAGAAAAAAATAATAAATACATGAAAGTATAAATATATTTTTTATTTTTTATTATTAAATTTTATATATAAATATGGAAAGATTTAGATGAATAAATTTAAAAAATATTCTTAATTTTTAAAATATATTATTTATAATTAAATCATAATAAAACATAATTCCAAAATGTCTTTCCGATACAAAAAAATTTATTAAAATTAAGGTTTAAGCAAAATAATCGTATAATAACTCCTCTCACCTCTTATTATGCAAGAGTTTCTTAGCTTCAAGTTTCAAGTTTCAAAAAGTTGAAGAAGAGTCGTATTTGGCGAGGAAGAATATATTGCTGTCTCAGAAACAGAGGAAAGGGTGTGAGAATTGGAGAAGAAACTAGCAGAAGCAGATTTTAGTATAAGCGTTGTGCAATCAAATATCATAAAGTATATAGCATAACGGTAATCCGTCTAATTATGTAATAAGCTTTTAGTTTCGGTGACTGGTTATATGATATGATTCACATTGGGGTTTGATTCTTTATTCACGTTTCAAGACATTTTTTGTTGAATGATAGTTGTTGATTTAGTAAGGTGTTTGTAGACACTTGTGTCATTTGAGTCTGGGGTTTAGGGTTTTGCAGTTTTGTGTCATAATAATGGATTATGAAGGATTGGAGAAGGGGATTGAAGAATTGAAAGTGGAGGAAGAGAAGGGTGATGTACATGTCCAAGAACGGGCACAGGGTCAATTGCAAATTACTACCTTTTCTGAACTTGTCAATGATGTTTGCCTCCATTTTCAGATCATGCGCTTTCCCAAACAGGTTTTCCCTCGTCAAACTCTCTTTTCAATAGATTCAAATATAAAACAACATGAGGCGTCGTGTTTTTTCAATTGGGTCATTCACAAACAACTCTATTTTGACTTGCGTATGATTTGGAAGTATGAAGTTTTAATTGGGTAATTTGTGCGATAAACTATAATGAAAACGCTTATCTTTCAATGCTTTGATACTTTTTATCTCTCCCGAAGATTCTTCTGATTTAAATGGTTAATTGGTCATAGATATATGTGTGGATCGGTTACAACTCTGCAAAATTGGGACACATGTATGCAGCAGCTCCCACTCGTCCTGTAAGTTGTCTCATTCCTTTATGTTCAGTAAAAGAGTATTCTTAAAAGATTATATAAAGATTGTGATTTATGGTGATAAATACAGAGCAATTCGGTATCTGTCACTTCCATACTTGGAGGGGTTTCTGATAACACAGGGTCCGGCATTGCTCATCGATTAGGTAACTATTATGTGTGTGCTTGATTTTGCTTTTCAACACTCATTCTCACTTTCCAAGAAACTAAACATGATTGGTAGGAATTGCTGGATTCACGTTCAATGAAGGTGGAATGGTTTTGCAAACATGCCCTATCATTTCTTATAGTTAAAATGTTATTCTAGTTTATGAATAAACTTTCTTTGTTTCTTAACAGTGTTAAAGACTGGTCTCAACATAATTTTGGCTTGCAGTATTCCAAAAAATAGCCCCATTCTTGAGGTCTGGTCTCTCTCCAATTCAATGTCACTTATGTTTGTTTGCACTTAGCACAGGGATGTTGTGCTCCTTAATGATTTTCTTACTGCCATATGTTCAGCCAACTTCTTAAAACAAGAAAGTGATGTCCTCACAGAAACATATCTAAGAATTTTTATGTTCCAACTTCCTACTTGGATATAAGCAATCATTTTACACTTCTTGCATATTCAATTACTTAACTTACTAATATATAGAAATTTAAACATACTGAAAGGTTCCTAGTTACAATAAGGGAACTGGTAAAGCCCAAGTGAGTTAGTCACCTACTCAGTTTGGATTATTGCTTGGGGCCAGGGATTTACCTTTGCTGGGACCATTTGCTCTTACTTTCTTGTATTCTCCTCTACATTGTTGGTAAAAATACATTATCCCCTTGTTAGATAAGAATTGTTCTTATCACATACTCTTCTGTATAGTAACAATGTAATGTAACCAACTATTATGTCTGACATGTGCTGTTACCTAGTATTAGGCTTTGGCATGACTTATATGACAGTGGATTTAAATAAAATACCTGAAGTTTATGATTGATTTAAAATTTTCCGGTTATTGAAATTTATAAATTGTCCCTTCGCTTCAAGGGTTTAAGGTTGATCTTACACGCCCCAAAATCCTACAGTAGTGGCACTTACCTTTTTTTCATTGCTTTTCTCCCTTTCATCCCTTCAGTTTTTAATTCTCTATTGTTCATCTTTTTGTTGTAACTTTCATGGATTGCAGACAGAAGCTGAGAAAATATTGATTCAGAAACTCATTAGTCTGGGCTACACCAAGTCTAGATTGGGAGGAACATCCTTGTAGCACAGGCCAGAGAGAGTTTTATATATATTAAACATGCATTATCCCAGTTTTATATATATTTGAGTCTGGGTTATTGAAGACTAGAAGCATTTTTAATGGACACCACAACTGTTAACTAATAGGCGTTTGTTGCTTGGATCTGGTGCCCATGTTTGGTGCAAGTGATGAGAAAACGTGAGATTTTCCGACTTTTTATTCTTAACGTCTTATTGTGTATTTTTTGTTTCTTTGTTTCCATACATTCAAAGCATCTGACTCGATTGGGTACGAAGGGTGGATTGACATTCAGTGATGTTTTAAACGAAAATTCAAACAGATCTTCAGAATTTGTCTTACATTAGAACTCATTTGCAGGTAATGGAAATGATGGTACATTACCCGAGTGAATGTTTTTATTTATTTTTTCTTGAACCTGTATCAATCTTGAATGGAACCATATGGGAACAAACAATTGCTACCCATTATGATGTCAATTTTAAATTAATGACTATTCATATTATATCAATGTCTCTCCTACCATGAATTTTCATCACCCCATTGTGTAATGAAAGTGATAGAAACCAAATTTAGGATAAGCTGACTACTATATTATTGATTGAATGTAAGAAGCATTATTGGGTCATCAAAATTTCTTATTTATTTATTATAATTAGTTTTCATTGGTTATTTTGATGACCTACTTTTAGTCAAACTTGATATTTTTTGGGTGGATTCAATAGTAGGTGTATTTTTTTAGAGCAAAAGCTCCTCAAAGCAAAGGTTCCTTCTCTGCCCTAGTACACTGTCTATGATCTTCCTTTCTCTCCTTCCTATATATAGCAGATGTTATGATTTTCTTTTCTCTGTCAGCAACTACCTTTTCTCTATAAGTGGGCATTTGCAAATTTGGTTGTGGTCAAGGACCAATCAGAAAGCATGGTCTTTTTTCATTTCTCTCCGCTAATGCCAGAGAGAAGAATATGGAAAATGTTTTGCTGGAGGCTGCAAGCGGTATATGTTTACTTGTTTTTGTTGATAATAATGTCAATGATATTGGGAACACAACTTTCTAGATGAACAATTTTAATCTCTATTTCAATGTGAATGAGAAAATATGAACTTGCCCCGTAGAAGGAAGTTAATTAATTACTAAGTGGAAACAAGCAATAATGTAAGGATCATATTTCACTATATACTGTTGATCAAAGCAAGTTCACTTTATCTCGTTTAGGATGTCTATGTTTATTTTCTATTGTTCTTGCTTGATCAGAGCAGCTACAACTACTACTGGTGGTTTGGTGAGTATGTAGAATTTTGGACTTTCTTGACTTTGTTGAATTATTTTTTATTAAAAGTGAATTTGAAGTAGTTTAGTAAATACTTGTAATTAAAGCAACATTATAATATTAAATTATGAGGACTCTTTTTATCAGTATAGATGCAACTGTGTGTTTTATTTCCCACCAAAACATTGGTTTTGTCGAAAGTATTATTCAGAATGCAAAATTGGTTTTCAACAATGTTGACAAAACTAGATGAAAACTTAAAGGAAAGTTATTGAATCAGCTTATTAAATTGTAAGTATTTGATAAAAATTATCGTTAAATTGTTTATATGATATTTAATATAATTTGTGATTTAATATAGTACATCATATCACAGCCTGAATACATCATATTCATACAAGAGATCATTTTTCAATCTCCTCACTCTCATCATAACATATGTGCAATAAATTATAATTTATGCAATTATATTATCATCAAGATGCAAGTGAATAATAAATAAAGTTTTTAAACACTAAATGCATAACTGAGTAGGGAACTGTGCTTGCAGGAGTAAAATTTTTCTTGAGCATTCAATTTTTTTTCTTATCGACTTGATTTTCGTTTGAGTTAAAGATTTTTACTTAGAGAGGAAATTTTTAGTTTAAGTAAAAAAATTTCAACGTATGAGTGAAAATTATCAAATTTGAGCTTTAGTTTTCAAAACTTTGTTTTCACTAGAGCAAAAATCTTTTAGAATAAGATTTTTTTGGCTCGTGATTGCATTTTCACATTAGGGACTAACGATGACTTAAACAAATTCTGCAAAAGAGAACCAAGTTCAACTAGACCATTTTTAATCCTTCTTAAAAATACTTTTCTTACATTTTTCGTTGAAGCATAATTTAGTTTAACCAACTTTATCACTTTTCTCTAAAATTTTGGACATGTAACAAATTCCACAATAACACTTTTGAAAATCAAATTTAACGGTACAATACTGATAACAATTTAGGTTTCAAAAGTTTCAATTCTGCGCAATAATGAATTCCAAACACAATTCCTACGAATCAAAATATACGTGCCCAAGTCACGTTACAATCATTCATCTCCAACCTTATTTTACTAAAAACAATTGTAAAACTAGCTTCCCTTACCTAAAAATAGACCAATTAACTAAGCAAAAGTTAAAAAAATGACTTTTAGATAAAATGTCCAAACTTATTCATAAAAACACCTCAGTCATCAAATCGTATACACCACTAGAAACCTACACTAGCATATATTCATCTTTTTCAAAAAAATTGTCACATGTAGTTGATGTCAACGGGATCAATTGTCTCCTGCTGGAGATTAGGGGATCTTGTCACAATTGAATTCTATTATTTGGGATATTATGCTCTTAAATAAAAATAGTTATATCATTACTATTAATTATAGTTTTTAGTCTATGGTAAACACATGATCTAATAATTCTAGTATATAAGTCAAGATTACGAATTCGATTTTTAGTTGAATAATTGTTAGAGAAAAGATTGTTGCGGGTACATCAATTATCTCGTAATAAAAACTGAATGAATAAAGTCATAATCAAATTATGATATTTGTATGGTTATGCATTATTTTATAATTTTGTGTCTAAGAGTAAACCCTCAATATTAATTCAAAATCATACATGTAAGGAAAAAAATAATTTATTCTATTTAAAATTTGATTGATTATAATTATTCAAACGAAAAGTTAATAATTTTAGAGATAATAATTAAATTTTTTAATTTATAATCATTTTAACTCAACTAAAAAATTATTTAAGTTTTTATCAAATATCTTATTGAAAAGTTTGATAAAGATCTAAAAAATTAATCAAATTATTTCTCAAGAAAAAATAACAATTAAAAAAGTGCTTAATTATCACTTTTCTATTTAGGTTTTATCAAATTAAATTATTGTTATTTTGATAAAAAAAATATAACAAAATGATGTATTATATAGGAAAAAGTAAAAAATATTAAAATTTTTACAGACAAAATAAGAGTAAATATTAAAATATATCTTCTGTACTTAATAATATTTTGGTATAATATTAGACAAGTTTGAAGGAAACTAATCTATGTAACAAACAAAACATAAAATATTATTTTATATTAAACAATTGCAAATAGACATAGTTGTCTCTTGATAATGTCATTCCACCATGCTTTCGTCACACGTCAAATTTTGTCACTTTTCATTTCCCAAACTCAACCTTAAACCTCAATTATGAGACAAATATGAAAATGAGAATTATTTTTAGGATTATTAATTTATTTATAAACATGACTAATTAAAATAAATATACATTTAAAGAAAAAATCATTCAAAAGAAAAAGGGTTTCAAAACCTAAGTCACGCGTGAGGCTTTATTTGAAGAAGAGCGAAGGCCCAATGCATATCAACAAAACTTGTCACTTTCAACCAACAAGCCTTTGAAATTATTGAAAGGTGAATTTGTCACTTTCTAATCACATTTATTATTTATATATATAACATTTTAAATTTGAATTTCCGATTAATTTGTTTAAGAGGAAAATAAATTGAATTTTGAGAAGAGGTTGATTTATAATTATAAAAAATAAAAAATAGGAAGGAATAAGTTAATAAATAAAGCATGCATCTTTGCGTTAGCTTCCAAACAAGCAAGCCTCGTCGATGTTAGCTAATAACGCGATTTTGATTACTCAGTCATTGCAAAAAAACAAAAAACGCTTCATCAATATGTAAATAATAGCTTTCTTGTTTTATTAAATAAGATATTTTAATATATAGAAAGTAATTCAAAAGATAGAATATAAGGATTATAAATATTAAAATCATATTAAAAAAATAACAAAGTTAATATTTTATCAAATAGATAATTTACTATTTATGACAAAAATAAACTAAAACGATTTATAAAAGCTAAAATTAAGTAAGATTAATAAAAAAAAGACTTTGTTTGCTTAAATACATAAATAAACACTTATTAAAATAGAGAAAATATAAACATTAAATGAATGAAATGAAAATCAAATTATAAACATTTTCATAAAAAAATTCAAAAAGTAAAATATATAACATTCTTTTAACTTATGTAAATTTTAAAATTCCCTTTATTATATATATATATATATATATATATATATATATATATATTAAACTAAAAACTAGTTTACTTCAAATACAAAAATATAAAATATCCTAATTTTGAATAAACATAAACTTAATAATATCTACAGAATAATACTACATATGAAAAGTAAAATAATACAAAATTTTGAATTACTATAAGAGGATTGAAGGGTGATACAATGATATTAATGGAGGGAGTCTCACTAAATGAGTTTCTTTGGGTATATTATCATTGATATGTAAATTTCTTAATAAATGTTTTTTTAAAATAAACTTATTTATAAAACTACACATAAATTAAAAATAAAAGTTTTTAAAAAATTATATAAATTTATAAGCTAATTTTAGTTTATAATTTAACTCTAACTCATTTGTTTTTTTTTTAAATACTTATGTAATTTTTTTCAAACATGTACCAAATTACTTTCTTAAAATCTTGATTTTATTTGCTTTAAGAAGGAAAAGGTGAATATTAGACATGATATTGATGTTAAAGGTTGTTTATTTACACAAGGAAATGCATAGTGGAAAAATCTTATTTTTCTTTTGCTATCTCCAATCAACATCTTTATTTTGGGCATTTAAAGTGGGTCTAATTTTTGTACTTCTCATTTATACGTTTACTCTTTTTCAATTTAAGTATTTTGTTGATGGTGATTGAAACATGTAAAAAATTATTAAATTCATGCCAAACGAGAAGGTTGAAAATTGTTCATATCTAAATTATTTTATGGTAAATATGGAATATTTGGAATTTTTCTATTTTTGATAACACGAAATAAAGGTTAAAAAACAAATGTCTATTATATTATAAATATTTCATCTTAATTTTAAAATACATATAAGAAATTGATAATTCTTTGCAAATGTGAGACTTAGATGAAAGATTTTGAGAAACATTGATTATTAACTAATTTTGCTTCGTAATTTTTTTTTTTAACATTTTCAACTTAATCTAACTTTAACCTTGAGTTAGCTTGAAACTCATCTTTACAAAAGAATAGGTACATGTGATTTGGTTTGAAAATTTTACGTGATTCCTTATTGTACTTAGCTATTATTTTATTAAAAGCAAAAGATAACAAGAGAGAAAAAGTAACAATGTGGTAACTTTCTTTGTGTGGAGGAATATACCACTTCTTTTATCAGAATTTGAAGCCATGAGAATATTATGGAAGCTCAAAATGGAAGAAGTATCATTACAAATGAATGCCCATAGAAGGAGAAGAAGATGAATAACTTCAACCTGCATGTTGTATTAAAGATGCAATTTTTTATTTTTATTTTTTTGTTTTTCTATTTATATATGTGAGGGAGATTTGGGATTATCCAAATTTAATTATATTCTTTGTGAATTTTTAATTTTATTGAGGTCCATACTTTTTAGAAGGGTTAGTAGAACATATTATTTTTACTATTTTTTTATTATTTATTCAGATTTATTTAAATTTTATAAAATTTTAAGAGAGATTTATTAAATAAAATTTTATAAATTTTAATAAACTATAAAATTAGTATATTGCTATTTTTTTCACAATTATATATTAAATGTAGGTATCTTTTTTAACAATTTTTTCAAAATTAGTATTTTTTTTATCACATCATTTAGTCAAATAAATATTTTAATCCGTTTTGATACTCCAATGAATCTACAATAAATAATTCAGAGTGAAAGTATTTAATAAAGTTACTCAAAGTTAAGCTAATTTTTTAACACACTATGCATTATTATTATTTTTTAAATTTGTTAATGATATAGAATTATATGACAATTAAGAAATAATTCATATAATATAATATATAATACCTCCTGTTTTAATGAAAAAAAGAAGAAAAAAGAACATTGACTTCATCGAACTTTCCATTGCAAAGGATAAGATAAGATTCCAACACTTCTAAAGTCGTGCCTTAAATTCATATACAGCAAAATATTAACGATTGAAATTAACATAAAAAAAATAGAAAAAATGAAATAACTTTATATACAAATTTAAATTAAATTTTTTAAAAATTTATAATTAAGTTTTTACCATTAAATTTGTATATTAGTTAAATTTAGTTTATACTTGTTTTTTCAATCTTTTTGGACCAATTCTTATGACTGGGGTATACTAAGGACAGGGTACCTATAATAGTGTGGGTGTGAGGTTCTTTCATATTTTCTTAGGAATAAACATCACTTCTTGTTTTCTTTCATATTTTCAAATGATTACAAATTTAACAAGGACAATTAAATATGATTTTTTATGAGCTTAATTTTGATTATTAGTTTTTTTAAGAAAACAACGCGTATTACTTAAAAAGGTGATAATACTAAATACAACTAGAGATACGAAAGTTGAAGGAACTGAAACAAATGAGAAATTCAAAGATTTTTTTTTAAATTTTATAAATTTATGTGACACCATTAAAAGTGATTAACTCTTGTTTTAGTTAAGAGACACAAGTTGAGAAATTTTTTATAAATAGAATGAATATTGAGTTTGTATTTTAGTAATGAATTGGGTTTGATGATAAATGAATTAAAAAAGTGGATCAAACCCTATTAATTGCGCTATATTGTGAAGGGGAATTTCATGGTAATGCCGTGATGATCGATAATTCTGCAATTTTATGGTGAAGATTTTAAAAGAAATTGTTTAATATAAAAATTAACGAATCTTAGAAGAAAACATGGTAACGAAAGTAATGATTTGTACATGGCATGGTCCACATGTCCACCTAATCTATAGATAACTCCCAAAATTCTATCATACCTATTACACATCCCTTTCTTTATAATATTATATTTTTCTTATCATTAAAAAAATCAATTGAATAATTCTAAATATTTTTAATTGTAATATAATTCGTTATTTTTATTAAATTTCTCCTATTTGTTTCTCACATTATTACTTTTTTTGTTATTACCTACGTTCTCATTTATAATTAATATTAATAAAGATTTCACTTAATTTGAGTTTTGTCTTTGTTGTGTTTATTAAACACAATTTCGTCAATTTAATTTGATTTAGGATTAATCATTAATTTATAAAAAAAGCGTTAGTTATTTCTGAATTATTGGGAAGGGTGTTATAATAATCAAAATGTATTAGCTAAATGTTACATATTTATTAAAGGATATTATTAATGTGTTTTATATTCTTATAAAATTTCAACTATCTTAAATACGTCTCTAAAACAATCCGTGGTATTACTTTTGTTTTAGAAAAGTAATTTTAATTAAATGTATAATTAATACTATATCAAAATAGTTTTTTTTTATAAAGGTTTCCATCTACCATTATTATTAACAAGAACCTAACAAATATATTTTAATTTTTAAACACTTTAAAATATATATTAAAATTTTTAGAGAAATAAAATAATTAGAATATATATATATATATATATTCCCAAATTATATCTATTTTAAAAATTAAAAAAAATATTTCAATAAGAAAAAAATATAAATTATTCTTAAATTTGACTTTTAAATAAATTGTTTATTAGCTTATCAAATAATATGCAGTTAAAAAGTATACTCCGATCGAAATGTTAGTCATATTTTATCGTTAATTAACGTTAAGATATTAAAAAATTCATTAAATATAATAAAAGTAGTTGTAATTTGTTTATATTTAAAAAGAATGTTTTTATTTATTTATATTTTCTATTTTAAAATATACAAGATTTAAGATTGAGTTATACTATCAACATAAATATTAATTTTTATTATCTTTAATCATTTTGTTTCCATTAAGATTTGTAATGTTCTTTATTTAAAATAATTTTAATAAAACTCTTATTATTTTAATATTTTTATTTAAAATTATTCTTGATAATTTATTATCTCTTTTTGATGTTAAGTATAATTGATAAAAAAAATACGTAATATAATTTAAAATTTTATAAACAATTGTTCTTAATATATATATATATATATATATATATATATATATTGAAAGGATTAGGTGAGAAAATAATTGAAGAGCAATGAATGGAAAGAATGTGAAGAAACTTAAAAGAAAACATAAATGTGTGGGAAAATTGAATGCAGCAATGAATGATGAAAAAGAGATGAAAACAAAAGAAGGTGCAATGCAAGGAGCAAACACCCAATGCTACATTTTGAACCATAAATATTATTTATTATTTATCAAATAATTTATACAACACATTCTTATTTTCTTTTTCTTTTTCTTTTTATATTGCATAAGTTAGTTAGGTCAAATAACTTTTATTATCTTATTCTTTTTATATTTTTTTTATTTTTAATTATTATTTTGATATTAATTTAATCTATTTAAAATCATTTAATCTTTTATTTTTATATTATTAATATAACAATGACGAATTCATATTAGGGATATAAGTTATATTTGTTTGGTTGATTGATATATATATATATATATTTGACTTATTTAAGAAATTAATTAAATTGATATTAAAATAAAATAATTATAAATTAAAATTTAAAAATAAAAAAGAAAAGTAGCTCATAATTTTAATAATAATAAATAATAAACATAAAAACAAGTATAAATTGTTTGAATTTGTATATAAGTGTATCACACTTTTCATGAAAGTTGTCAATGAAGAACTTATCTTCACACGTGTCCTAAACATGGTCCCCAATCAACTGAGAGTCTGAGGTCTCAATTCCCAATCCTCATCCACACTCAAAATCATCAATAATAACGTGACCCAGTAAAACAAATTCTGCAAGTTCTCCACTTGCAAATGAAAAGTTGCAAACTTTCCTCTCCATTGCCTGTTAAATTATAAACCCGGTTTTCTTTCACTGTAAGCACCCCTCATTAGTCTTCAATTTCCCATCTCTACAAAAGGGGTGTGTCACTTGCTCCCTCTCCCTCTCCCTCTCATATGTTTTTGCATTGTGTGCTTGAGTTGCATGTTGGTTGGTGTTCCAATTCACTCTCAGATTTTACGGCTCTTGCCTCCCGAACCAGGTTGTCATGGCCGTCAAAAAGGCATGTGAGTCATTCTCAAAGTCCTTGATTGAGGAAGTGCATAGATGGGGTTGCTTGAAGCAGACAGGGGTGAGTCTGAGGTACATGATGGAATTTGGGTCCAAACCCATTGATAAGAATTTGCTGATCTCTGCTCAGTTTCTTCACAAAGAGCTCGCCATTAGAATTGCCAGAAGAGCTATTGAACTTGAGAATCTTCCCTATGGTTTATCTGAAAAACCTGCTGTTTTGAAGGTAAACTTTTTATTCTACACTCCAGAATTGTGGCTTGTTGTTAATTCTGTGTTGTAATTTTTTCCCCATCTATGGTGCCCTTGATTCTGTGTTGGATTTGGGGGATAATTATGATTATTTGATCGTACCTGTTTATGGGGGAAGCGAACTTTTTTTGATGTCTTATAGTTACTCTAGTGTTTTGTTTGTTTTTATTTGCTGCAGCAATATTGATCATGAATTGAGATTAAAGAGATTGACTAACTTTTGAAAGCTAGCTTTTTAAAAAAAATATAGTTTGTGATTAGCATGACCAAGATGGTGTAGATTCTTGTCCAAGGAAGACGTCCAGAGTGTCATGTTTGTGGATAATCTTGCAGTGTCAAAACCATCGTCGCACATGGCATGGAATATAAGCATGTGAAGTTTTATATTGTTTCCACAGCTCATTTATTTATTCTGGTTAATATTTGTTTAATCAAAACTCTGTAAACAAAAGGCTTAACTTGTTTGGTGGAGACCAAGAGTGATGTATACCTCTTGCACACTGTTTCACACAAAGGGCTTACAATGTGAACACTGGTCTACCGAGATTATATTTAAAAGAATGATTATGGAACTTGTAACAAATTGTTCAGAGGTCCTGATTTAGAACATGATTGTGTTAGTTTATGATGCTGTTGAGCTGATGTCGGTTTTGATGTGTGTATTGTGGAAATATTAGCAACATTATGGACAAGAACTTGCATAAAATCTAACTTAATGTATTGTAAATGTTTTTATTGATCTTTTGTGCTAAACTTATGATTTTAGGTTAGAGATTGGTATTTGGATTCTTTCCGTGATCTCAGAGCTTTCCCTGATATCAAGAATATGACCGAAGAAAGAGAGTTCACTGAAATGATCAAGGCCATCAAAGTGAGACACAACAATGTTGTACCCACAATGGCCATGGGTGTTCAGCAATTGAAGAAAGGTATGGATCCAAAGATTGTATATGAAGACCTTGTCGAGATTCACCAGTTCCTCGATCGCTTTTACATGTCAAGAATTGGAATCCGCATGCTTATTGGTTAGTTCAGATAACATTACCTGCCTTACAAGACTAGGCAGTTTTTCTGCTGCTATTCTATCCATTTAAATCTTTGTAGTGAAGGCTTAAATCCTATGCTTATTGTATTAATTTTTTGTGGGATTTAGGGCAGCATGTTGAGTTGCACAATCCCAACCCTCCACCCTATGTCGTGGGTTATATACATACAAAAATGTCGCCTGTGGAGGTGGCAAGGAATGCCAGTGAGGATGCTCGTGCAATATGTTGTCGTGAATATGGAAGTGCCCCTGATGTCCAAATTTATGGAGATCCTGATTTTACTTTTCCGTGAGTTATATAATCCTTACTTTCAGGAATTTACTTGCCTTTGTTTTCTTGACATTCATTGTCAAAACTTTTACACACTTATGTCAGTTTCCCTGCTCCTTTTTTCCTTTTCTAGAGCTTCCATCTTATTCCTTATGCTAGGAATGATTATCTCATAAGGATTATAGTTCAGAAATTGTTTCTATTCTCTTTCTATACACAATTATTGTATGTTTCTGCTTCAGGTATGTTCCAGCTCACTTGCATCTTATGGTATTTGAATTGGTTAAGAACTCACTGCGTGCTGTCCAAGAGCGTTTTATGGATTCTGATAAAGTTGCACCTCCCATTAGAATAATAGTTGCTGATGGAATAGAGGATGTTACCATAAAGGTGCTCAGTTAAATTTACTCTGCAATTAACAGTTTTGAGTGAACGTTTGAATGTTTTTTTTGTTTCTTTTGGTAGGATTGTTACTTGTTATTGTGGAGATGCTTTTCTAAAGCAGTTTAGTCTATATGGCATTGCAGGTCTCAGATGAGGGAGGTGGAATTCCAAGAAAAGGTTTGTCTAAAATTTTTACATATCTATACAGTACAGCCAGAAACCCATTGGATGAACATTCAGATCTTGGAATAGGTGAGAATGTGACAATGGCTGGATATGGATATGGACTTCCTATTAGTCGCCTATATGCTCGGTATTTTGGAGGTGATCTTCAAATAATCTCCATGGAAGGATATGGTCAGTAGGCTGTTACTTCTTTTCCCTTCTTTTAGACTACTTTTCTGCAAGATATCCTTTCACCTTTTTTATAATTCTTCTAATTTGACTCTTGAGGAATTGCCAACTTTTTGTATCTCTTCTCCTTTTAGCACATATCAGTTTTGAGATAAGGGATCTAATATGATGAAACTGTCAACAATTAATTTTCTGGTTACTTTTTATGTCCCCGATATCCATTTGAACTTCTATAATAATAATATTGATTTCGGTGAAGTATGAAGTGGATATTGTTATTTTCTCCCATATGTTAGTTGGTCATTACACATAGAACTTTATAAGATTTTACTTTACAAGGGTGGCTTTTTATTTTCTATAATGCTGATTTATTGTTATCTTTCTCCTAGACTGCTCTTTTTTACTATTAAGTTTTCCCTGTTTAGAAGCAATCAAATTTCCTGATGCTGTCATGGTTGTTTATTAGCAGGGACTGATGCATATCTTCATTTGTCTCGATTGGGAGATTCACAAGAACCTTTGCCTTGAAAGCACATTTCAGTCAGAGTTACAGTTAGTAACTCGGACATCTTGTGCTAGGGAAAACACCATTGTTAGTAAGGGACCGTTTGCAGTCAATTTTTTATGTTTTAGTAATTTGACAGATTTCTTGTAAATATGTCATACATAAGATTGTGCATGGTGATTGCCCCTTCTTTGCAAGAAAAATGAATATGCTATTTTATCTTGAAAGAGTTGATGCATTTAGAGGAAGGTTAAAGGTGCAGATATTCCATACAGTGGGTGCCATTCTTGTGTGGTTGAACAGCAATCCGCATAAATTGCTTCTAGCTCCGTCTAATGCAGGACCTGATAAAAGGGTCATGATACCATGATAGCATTTGATAACATGGGACTGTGAAAATCTATTTTGCTAACGAAACTCATCTTAAGTAATCAAAAGTTCCTTTTGTTTAAAATCTTGATGCAAATAGGAAAGTTGACCTTCCTGAAGAAAGATAAAAAAAATCATACCTTTTTTCTGTTTCATTTCACGATGACTGATAGTTTACACAGACAACCCTCAAAATGGCATGTGTTGACCAACCCAACTAGAATAAGTCAACCATATTACTAGAATAAGTCAACTGTAATAATGAGTAAAACATATAAATGAAACCATGTCTAAAAGAATAGGAAAAAAAAAAACTAAGTATATTACTGTAATAATGAGTAAACCAATGCTTTAAGAAGTATAAGTCATGTAGTTCTTTCTTTTAAAAATTCTTAATTTTATGAAATGTTCACTTGATTATTTTGGTACCAAATGAAGGTAAGAAATGAATTAGAAAATAAGTTGAAAGGTTTGACTTTGTTGTTTCTAAATTTTTTCTAATTATTTCTCTTGCTAGAATCATACATTTCCACTACATCACTAAGAACAATCTTTCATATATTCTTTTCCACTATAGAAATCATATTAATAACCTCAGACAAGATAGGGTAAATCATTCTTATACAATGTACAAACATATATTACATGGAGGCTTGTATTTCATCCTCTCACATGATAGTCATATAAAATTCTTACACATATACAAAATAATACTTTACATAAATTCAATACAATGTGATCCAACACATGGCATAGAATGCATGTGAGTCTACACTTGACACTTATATTCTTTACTAGAATGATACCCTTAACAATTCATCAAAGCATGAGATTAGAAAGTTTTCACCTTCAAGCCCAAAGTTCAATAATTCTTTGTAGCCTCCATTCATAATTGTATTTCAAAAATCACATCTCTTGTATGATTCACTCAATATGCATATGGTCTTACTATCTATTGTACATACCTATTATACTTTATTTTCTTCTTTATACCATGCTAATTGTGCTTAATTCTTTATACCATGCTAAGTTTTAAATGCATAGTTGTATATTTTAAACTTTTTAATAAAGAATTATTTTGTCACTTAAATTACATTAATTAACTTTTTAACAAATCATGAATTGTTTTATTCTCCTTTCTTGTAGGTTACACAAATTAATAAATAGAATATTTATAATTATGAGTAATTATAAATATTCTTCTTCTTCTTATTATTTATAAAATCAATAATAATAAATAAAGGCTAAAAACCAATTTTCTGACATTTTTAACCTAATTTTACTCACTAGTATATTCATATATTTAGCTAGAGATAAATGTTTGCATTACTCTGGTGTCAATAAACACTTAGTCTAGGGATTTAATTTGATATTTGATTTTGTGAGAAAAATATTTTAGAGTTAGGAGATATATTTTTATGGGACAAGAAATGATGAATGCATGGATAGGGATGAAGAAAATGAGTAAAAATACATTATTCCAAGAGAATGTCAAGAAGCATTAAAAAAAATCTTATCACAAAAATATTTGTTATTTCTCTATTTTTGCTTAAAATTGAGTTTGATTGAAGATTAAGTTAAAATTCAAATGAATCGATTAAGAGAAGAAAATGAGAAGCATGATAAGTATGATCAAGGCATTAGAAAGTGTGAGCAAGGCATTGAACAATCTATTGAATCTCAATTATCCATCTTAAGATCAAGGATTTGAATTTTAGATTTTGAAATTTTCCTTTTTCTAGCCATTTGAATTTTTGGCGAAGTAGTTATATATAACTAACACATTTCTATGATATATGAAACTTGATAGTGATTTCATAAGAATTGTCTCTTTTGTGAGATAATTCTCATTCATAGAATCTCATTTTAATATCTTAGGATTCAATCGATAATTCATGGGTCTTGAGATGAAAATAAACTTTTAATGACATGTATTTTTGTCTCCTTAATTTTCTTGATCCTTTTTCTATTTCATTTTCTAATACTTGTTCATCTTCTTCTTATATTGTTCTTATTATCATATTTATCTTTCCCGTTTCACTTGGTCATAGTTTATTTTAATTAACTCTATGTTGTTCATAGTTCCTTATCCTTCTCATCTCTTATTTGATATTGTGTTAATAAAACTGTCAAGCCACTCATGAATTCATTTAATGAATTTTGTGAAATGATCGTATTCTACTTTTGATATAGATTTCGTATATAATAACAAAAAAGTACATACATGTTAAGAGTTACTTCTTTATCTAGAAATATATATAAAAAAAAAATCAAGTACGCTTTTAACGTTAATCGACTCTATCACTAACAAACATGCGCTAATGAATATGTACCTCTGCCTAAACCAAATAAATAGTCAACTATTGTTATGGCACGGATGAAAAACTAATAACATGGGATATGCATTCGAGATCCTAACTTTTGTTTTAATGGCCAATATCTTTGCATATCTGAGCACAAATCTTATACTTTGTACAGTGTACTGCATCAAATTTTATCTTACAATAATATCAATGGCTATATGACTATGTGTCAGCTCTTTCTGAGGTTCTTCTTATATAACTGTAAATAACTTAAACTGGTTAGACGGATCTGAAATGAATGCGCTCCAAACATGAAATAAATGGTTTTCGGCACCAACATGGTCATCTTGATTTTTCACTGGAAAATAATAAGCATGGGCTCACGATTCATAACCAGGCGACCAAATAATTATTCTTCCGAAATGAGAACCATGTAACTTTATTACTCGCTCAAATCATCATCAAAATAATTCAGATCAGACTCATCATCAGTTGCAGCGTCCATGTTAGGATGATCTACATCTGGTGATCCTACTGCTAAATCAGCCATAGTCACCAGCTCAAGGGATCCCTTTAGAGACCTTGCACCACCATCTTCATAATCAATTGAATCATTTTCATATTCATCATCTAGTTCAACTCCAAAAAGGATATTCTACAAAACAAAAGCAAAACAAATATTCCATCAGTATAGCCAATAGTTAACCATCTCTACGATTAAGAGCATACTTCACAACTCTACGATGGTTCACCATCTCAAACACCACAATAGTTAACCATGCAACATCTAACATGAAAATTAAAGTCACGTTTTTATAAAACATCAAGAATTTCAACTTATTCAGAAAGACAACCATCAGACTTAATTGGCTTAGACTTTTGATCCCTTTTAATTCAGTAATTTAGTCAAGAATTACAGTTCAATATATTGAAAGGTGACAACAAATAGTACATTATTAACAGTATGATAACTTCTAAGAAAGCCAACTCAACCATGATTTATAATAAAACCAATTTATAGCAATTAATGCTTTCATTCATACCAGTTCAAAAATACAGAAATCACAAATTACCTTATCAACATCAGAGCTTTGTACATTAGCATCTACTATCCAATCATCAAGTAAATGCGTTTGCAGAACACTGTCAACAGAGGGCAACTTTGAGTCCCTGGACCTTTTTCTTAATTGACATTCTCTAAGTCGCAAATTGTAGCGAACGTACATAATGTCATTTAATTTCTTCTGAGATAAACGATTTTGTTTTTTGCAATGTATCTGATCATATATACTCCAATCATGCTCGCATGCAAAAGACGAGCATGTCTGACTTAATATGCGTACAGCTATTCTTTGCAACTCTAAGCAACTTATTCCATGTTGTTGCCACCAAGCAGCTAGCGAGGTTAAAAAGGAAACAAAATTGATCAATTCAAGCTGAAGTAGCAATGCACCTCCAACAAATTTAATCATCTTATGAATGATTTAACAGTTTACCTGGTTCTAGACCTGTTCTTGTGCTAATTGCTAATTCAGTTCCAAAGTCATCTTGTGCAGAATTATAATGAGCTATCTGGAAATGACATCACTTTGAAGCAGATAAAATAAATATCCAATAATATTGATACCACATAGTAATAAACAGTCATTAAGAACACATTACCTGCATTGATGCAGATATCCGTCTCATATTATCTGGCTCCAGCCGAACAATGCATTCATTGAGCCCTCGTACTACCTCAGAATGCTAGTCATATCAAACGATCACTTCAGGAGCAAACTTAAATAAAAATTGAAAATAAGCAATCACTAAGAAATATTGAATATTCTTACATACCGGCACAAAATCCTGACGATATCTGTATGATGGGTTTAAGAAGTATGCAGCCAGGTAAAGAGGGTGACAGAACAGGGAGTTCCAGTGACTGTCTATCACCTTCCAGAATGGCTCATATTTACGTGCATCATCACCATGAAAAGATTTGATAGCAAGTTTTGCCCTGTGCATATCGTTATATATATATGGCATTGACAAGCTCTCACCACTACAAAGTTTTTTAAGTACTTGCATTATGGGATCTGTTGACTTCCTTACATACAGCATTTTCTTCCAAAATGTGACATTCAAAACAATTTTTTCCACTTCTTTCCCCTCGTTTGAGCTGGAGAATCTGGATGAAATCCATTTGTTGGAAAGAAACATTCTTCTGAGACCAACTCGATGATCCAACAAGCTCTGTAGTGTAGCAAAGCTAGAGGCAAACCGGGTGGCAGCTGGTTTTAGAAGCTCCTGTCCCTCGGTAAACTCACTTTTCATAAGATTTAACAACCATATTTGATTGTATATTAGTT